CAGTACTTTGGCCATCTCATGAGAAGAGAAGACTCCTTGGAAAAGACCCTGATGATGGGAACATGTGAAGGCAAGAGGAGAAGAGGACGACAGAGGACGAGATGGTTGGACAGTGTTATCAAAGCTACCAACATGAATTTGACAGACCTCCAGGAGGCAGTGGAAGATAGGAGGGCCTGGCGTGCTCTAGTCCATGGGGTCATGAAGAGTACAACTAAACGACTAAACAACATAGAAGTAATGCATAAGGTGACAAGAAAGCAGAGAGAGACTGACAGCTCAAGCACCAATGAAAACTCCAGCCGCTGAGCTGCTGGGAGGGAATTCTTCTGCCAGTTTGCCAGGTTCAGAATACCTGCATTTATTTTATTTGTTTTCTTGTTTGTTCTATAGCCTACTTTCTGCCAATAAGGAGACACAAAGGCAGCTCGCAATATTAAAAAGAATAGAATCAAAAACTTAATAAGTGAAATACGTTTTAAAAATGATTTAACTATATGCTAATTAAAATACAATTGAATAATTACTAAGATCTCCCTTTTACCAGGATGATGAAAAGGATGGCAAAAAGGAAGGTTTCCTTCAGCCGTCATGTCCCCACGTCCACAGACAGGTTTTGGGGGGGGGGCCCTTGGGATCAAGAGGCTCCGGCATCCAGGGTCGCTGTCGGGAGAGGGTCATCATGCCCAAACTCCAAGAGAGAACGTGCACACCACCGCCTCCGCCATGCTTCTGTTTCTGCCCATCCCCTTCTTAAGAATCCAGGGAAGGCTTAAGGCAAATCCCCCAGGCCCCACAGAAAAGAGGGCCTGCCTGCCCCCTGCAAGCACCAAACCCAAAAGAGGACTCGCTCTGGATCTGGGACCCCAGGAGGACACTCATGGCATCTTCACCGCTCTGAAGCGAGCACCTCAGCAGGTGCGCTTCCCCATTTGCATCACTTAATGGAAATTTTCCGTTTCCTAATCAGTGAGAGCATTTTATGGAAAGTGCGCTGCCATTATGAATTCATTTGATATTCGTTGTAAGAGCACAGATCATAATGAACCGGGCTAATACTCACAGCGCTTTCACAGATAGGAGCCTGGTTTCCACTACAAGGGCTGTTATACCTCCCGTGTCCGTTATCTGTACTTAACGCACTTAATACAGCACAGACAATGGCGCCTCCCCAGCCAAGCGTTTCCGCTGAATGACAATT